AAAAATTGTTATTTTACGGTGATAATCTTGTTTTCTTGTGCACAATAATGCATAATTTCATTTGATAAACACGTTTAGATTGAATGGTAATTTATAATCAGTCACAAGAACGTCGAATCTGAATCACTTGAAAAAAACACGGGGGTGCTTAACTTTTTTCCAGGTGTATAGTTTCGACATATTCGTGTGTCCTATTTAGTCTCACTAGTTTCTCCAATATCAAGACTTCTGACAGTTTGTTCCGTTTACTGTGGTTTTCTGTTCTTTATGTATGATAGTTTATCACACAATTTTTTGATGTTTTGTTGTCGTCATCTTCTTAAGAGGAGACCAAACTTGAAAGACGTAAATACGACGGTGTAACTTTTACGTTAACACAGATGTTTTACGTAAACAAACTGACGAACAGTCATTAAAAATAAAATAAATCGTTAACTTAACCGGCAATCAGTTAGAATCAAACAATTATCAACAACTTTACACTTATCCTGGAAATAAAATACTCATAAGTAACGCAAACAACAACAACAACATGTTAAAAAAAAATAAAGACGCGTTTTTCCCTATGATTGGCTTTATAAATCATGAAACTTAAATTTTGACTATCAGTTTTATTACATGAGAAAGGTAATTTACAAGTTACAGCTGTTTAATAATATTTATGGTATAAGCCATTTCCCTGTAAATATATGTTACTGTTACTCTCAGGACAGACTTAGGACTACCTTGTTTTGTTTGAATGTTGCCTTTCACCATTTTGGCGAGTACAAAATTGATCAGGTGAGAATTGTGTGTTGTGGTATCTACCGGGTGTAGAGAACCACATAGAGTCTATTATAATTGTTGCCCTCTCTATGTTAAAGAATATAGTTTCATTAACTGTTGTATCTACGTGCTTCAGAATTAGGCTTATAAAAATAAATAATACAATATTTGTTGTGTCTTCTTCTGTATTTGAGATTAAGGTTTGATTATCTGTTGTTGCCCCCTCTATGTTTAAGAATAAGGTTTCATTAAGTGTTGTCTTCTAGGTGTTTACGAATTAGACACGGTAACTGTTTCTACAATACCTGTGAGAATTGAGCTTGATAAACTGCTGTCTCCTTCGCATCTCACATTGACGTAGTTTTTACAGTATCTCCATCGTGGACAAACTATATATTTATTTGGTGTATTAAAATATAAAAACAAATCACTTCATATTAACCAATATCATCAGAGGAGAACTCCAGTCTCGAGCAACGTCAGTTCTCGTCAGATTCATGATAGTGATTGTCACTCAGTGGAGCTTTATGTGGGGTAGTTTTGAAAAATGCGAAAAGAGCATGCGTACTAAACTTATCTGGAAATGTGAAGAGAGTCAAACTCTGTCTTGTGTAAATATAAAAACTACACTAGGTCATTTGATGTACGACTAGTGGGATGGTATAAGGTAGTAAAGATGTTTGTTTTCGTTTTATTGTAATATTGTGTGCTACGTTAGTGTCTTCCTGGCTTGTTGCAGTGGTTCTCCAATGAGTGTACGGAAGATACTATAATATATTAGAAAACATTCCATCACGCAGCATTACCTGAAGTACGTAAGCTAACGCCAATAACGTAGCTAGAACTTGTAAGTTGAGAAAATGATGACACAAGTTATCAAAGGACTTCAGAGAGATAGTTCAACATTTGATATTAGACAAATGAAGCGGAGGGAAAAGTTTTATTTATTTCTTACATAATTTAGACACAAAGCCAAACAAAGGACTATCTGTGCATAGTTAGCCCTAACTTTCAATTGATAGTCTAGCTAGTTAACGGTACCCACCGCCAAACCTTTGGCTACTCTTGTCTAACCGAATAGTGGGACTTGGCCGTCAATCTTATGTCTAAAGTGTTTTGTGGCAACGAGCCGCGAACCATGAAACCTCGGAACACGCTAACCACTAGGGCACGAGCAGTCTGAGGAATGAGAAAGAATGCATTTGCTATTTTTATTGAAATAATAGTAAAATATATTTCTATATTAATTCTTCGCCTTACGAAGTAAGAACAATGAACTGAAAATAAAACAGACCTTATGAACCATCTTTCCAGTGGTTATGCTAGTGATTAACCTACCATTCTTATCACCAAATTACGAGTAACCTTACCAGTTAACGAACGACATCCAAACTTCAGAGCCTTGGCGTATTCTTCACCGGCTGAAAGTTGACAATCTCTGTTTTGATGCAGCAAGCTTAAGCAAAGAGATTAAAATAAACATTTAATTATAATAGCCCCTACCTGAATATACTTGCAAAGATGAATATATCGCACCTGTTGTTTACAGATAATAAAATATTACATAAATTGCCATCAAAATGCTTGATGGATAACTTCGGAAAATCTTCTGAAACATTACCCTTTCTTTTTACTTCTGTATCGATAAATATATGTATCAGTGCATCAATCTCTTAAATTCTCCTTACAACAGAAGTTTGGTTCTAACATTCACTGCTGTATTACTTACAGTGTACTCGATGTTGATATAAAGTATTGAGAAAGTGGTAGTGACATATCTTGACACACAGTCTGATGGGTGGGACTCATGATGTCACAATCTTCAGAAAGTAAGAACCTCGTAAACCCTGAAAATGAAGATGTAACATCATAAGAAACCTTGTTAGCCAAGAAAAAAAAAACGTTCCGATTTTCCAGCCGGTAAATTTATGAACGAAGTTGTACTGAAACGTATGTATTTAGGCTGACCGACCTACAATTAGTTTATCATGCAGTAAAATTGACAGAGTTCACAAATCTAAATATGTATTATGATGTATTAACATTTTATCATTGCCTTCGTTGTCAAACATTTAATTTTATAATTTGCATATTAATTTCAACAACTATGCAATAACCTTAATGTCTTTGAAATCGGTACATTGGTAGCAACGAATAAATAGAATATTCCAATTGTTAAAAATGGGTGTTAGGAATGTGTTATCCTCAAATAAGAAGCACATTCTTTTCTTTATATTAACACCCACATAATTCAATTACTTATATAAGGAGGAAATACCTGTACAAAGACAGTTATGACGTGACCTCAGCCAGCCACGAAGGTAACATTGTTCTGTGTGACCTCAGCCACGAAGGTAACATTGATCTATGTGACCTTAGCCATGATGGTAACACTGATCTATGTGACCTCAGCCACGAAGGTAACATTGTTCTGTGTGACCTCAGCCACGTAGGTAACAATTGTTCTATTATTTTTCTCTTACGTGGCCTCATGCTGTTTATAATGACAGAAAGCTTATTAAAGATTGACAACACACCCGAAACGTTTAATTAAAACACACAACGTTTCGGATGAAAATCCTTCCTCGAGTGTATCTGATGCTTATCTCATTATCAGAACTCGAAACAACCATTGTAAACAACTCAATAAACGGCCTGGCACGTCGGGGCAAAGCATATGTGGCATGTTGTTATTAGTATATACTCGAAGTTGGTTTGAATATCGTAACATTAAACTGTAAATTGCATCATTTTACCTTGTGATTCGTGGAGCCATGATTGTGTAAAACCAGTTACTGTCGTCCGTAGACATTTTCTTTTCGTTTTTCTTTACAGTTAAAAAAACAAAAAAAAACATTTTAGAATAATTTCAAATTAGCTAAATTAAAGCAGTTATTCCAAAAGGAATTGCGACACCCCAATGTTTACGATTTGACAGGTTAAGTGGGAAAAAACCACGCAGTTTAAGTCTAACGCATCTCGGTTGCTAAGGGACGCCACCTAGCAAGACAAATAAATGTTTTGCAATATCTTTCTCTTATTTTTATTTGGATTATTTTTCTAACAAGTTTTCTTATTCAAATCGCCAAACATTTATTTAGAAAAAAAAAAGACCTGTACGCAACTAGCGTTGATTTTGAATATACCATGTTAAATATTTTTTAGCAAATAAGTCCACTTTAACCTAAAATATTTCATCATTTTCTTCTCGTCGAATTTTGTTGAACGTTATTTTATAAATATAAAGTGAACGCAGGTAGATACAACTATAAGGTATGGTGCAAAATAGAGAACGAAGCGTTTAAAATGGATCTCCTTAAAATAATGACTCTACACGTGGAAGATTTATAAAAAACGCAGCCAGGGGATCTCGCAGAATCATTCCACGAATTGGAAGTTCTTACCAATTCATAGCAGTCAGCTTAGGATAAGACACCTCCCTGAATTACCAAAAACAGTGTTGAAGAACATCTTCGCGATGGCAGTTAGCTCAGAATAAGACACCTCGCTGAATTACCAAAAACAGTGTTCAAGAACACCTTCGTGATGGCAGTTAGCTCAGGATAAGACACCTCGCTGAATTACCAACAACAATGTTATAGAACACCTTCGTGATAGCAGTTAGTTTAGGATAAGACACCTCGCTGAATTACCAACAACAATGTTCAAGAACATCTTCGTGATGGTACTTAGCTTAGGATAAGACACCTCGTTGAATTACCAACAACAATATTCAAGAACACCTTGATGGCAGTTAGCTCAGGATAAGACACCTCGCTGGATTACCAACAACAATGTTCAAGAACACCTTGATGGCAGTTAGCTCAGGATAAGACACCTCGCTGAATTACCAAAAACAGTGTTCAAGAACACCTTGATGGCAGTTAGCTCAGGATAAGACACCTCGCTGAATTATCGACAACAATGTTGAAGAACACCTTCGTGATGGCTAAAAACGTCATTTTACTCCGACCACGAGATTCACAATTCACACAGGTCTATAATAAGTTTATAAGTATTAAAAATAAATAATGGCTTCTGGGAAGGAGAGTAGGGTTTCTTAGATCACAAACACACACAAGAAAATTGCTTAGTTTAAGAGATGTAACATATATACCTCGCTTGCAAAATAAACTTTTTTAAAACAAAATTTGAATACTAAACAAGGTGTTTAATTGGACCAGAATGCAGGGGAAAGACGTTCCTTCTATGTGTTTTGGCCTTTAAAGTTTCAGCTCTGTTTATTGAAAGGAAGATGACAGACAGACAGACGGTTTAATCACTGAATGAAAATTGTAATAATCATGAAATCAGAGATTAGCTCAAAACATTATTTTGAATTTCATGAAATGGGAACGAAGCTATATCACAACGGGAGGATTTGTATGTTTGACGTTTCACACTTTAACACATAGACTTTAGGCCTACAACGGGAGAACTTATATGTTTGACGTTGCACTCTTTAACACATAGACACCAGACCTACAACGGGAGGACTTATATATTTGACGTTTCACACTTTAACACATAGACATTAAACCTACAACGGGAGGACTTATATGTTTGACGTTTCACACTTTAACACATAGACATTAAACCTACAAAGGGAGGACTTAGATGTTTGACGTTTCACACTTTAACACATAGACATCAGACCTACAACAGGAGGACTTACATGTTTGACGTTTCACACTTTAACACATAGACATTAAACCTACAACGGGAGGACTTATATGTTTGACGTTTCACACTTTAACACATAGACATTAGGCCTACCATCAATTAGAAGTTGATGCTTCCTTTTTGATTCTTCAGATGGTTCGTATTTTTCGATTAATCTTCTACATTCGTCTGCTGTTACTCCATAAACCTAAAGAACGTTTATAGATTTATAACGAATATTCATGTAAGTCACGTGGCGAGCAGCTTGTTTAAACAGTTCCTTAACAAAAAATCAAATCATACATAGTAGAAAGTAGAACAAACTCTTCCTCACTCTCCTAGAAGTCCAAAAATTCTACACAAATGAAGTTAATACAGAAGTACAAATGGTGTCATTTTAACTTTAACACTCTATGTGGTTAGGGGACAGTATTAGAATTTTTCCTAAAGAAGTACAAATGGTGTGATTTTAACACAAGATGTTGTTAGGGGACAGTAGTAAAATTCTGT